CTCTTCCAGAGAGCAGCAGTGGGGCCTGTCCCAGTCTTCCCTCACCTCCAAACAGAAGCAGCTCCCGCAACCCCAGGCCCTCCATCATGCCTCAGAGACTGCTGCAGGGTAGGAAGTGAATCAGGCAGGTAATAAAACGAGACAGCCTTTTCAGAAACCAAAAAATCATTGAAAACAGTGAATAAAGTGCCCATTAGTATTCATTTAAGCAGTCCCGGCTGCATACCTATGTACATAACTGCACTCGCTGTTTGTTTTTGGAGAGTTCTGGAATATGGATGTGCTCATAGCTGTTTAGGTAAACAGCTTCTGCAGAGCTTAAGGGATAATATACTAAAATAATCCGCTGCTCCCTCAAGGACATGGCCCAGCCTGAATTTGCTCTGTAAGAGCTATTTGAGGGTCGTGCCAGAGATCTCCTGGGCAGGCTGCCACCTGGGACAGATACTCTACATCCTGGGTCCCCTAGGGAGGAAGTCGGGGTGTCCTGCTGGGCCCAGGTAGACGGGAGTGGGGCGACTGCTGACATGGCCCTCGCCTGTGCCCCAGGCATGTCCCTGCCCTCTCACTCCCCGTCGGCATCAGCCTTCGACTTCCTGGCTTTATGGAGGTGAGAGGCAAAGGCCAAACCCAATCTGATTAGGTGGTCGGCATTTCCTGTCAATGGTAGAAGTCGAAGAGGTCCTAGGGGGTTTGCTGGCCATTGTTGGGGAGAGGCGGGGAAGGAGCCCGAGGGAAGGGTTTCCTGGAGGCTGAAGACCAGATCCACCATGGCCCCAGGGCTTCTCGTGGCTGGGTGCTGCTTGTCACCCCACCAAGAAACCCTATCAAGATGGAAATTGGCCTCCTCAGAGGAAATGGGAGGCTTCTAGAGAGCAGGGATCGATCCTGGGAGTGGGAGCAGCGCTGCAGGGCTCAGCGCTGGTGCAAACCTTCCCAGCACTGGTGCTGGAACACCCCCGCGCCCGTGCGCCTAAACCCTGCAGGGTGAGTAGTGACAGCACTGCTTGTGCTAGGCTGTGTTCCCGGAATATTCCCAACAGCTACAGAGGGTCTGCAGAAAGCTCGTGGAAAATACCTATCATCGAAAAAAAGACAACGTGCAGATTTCGATCATGTTTTGCACCAAAAATATACTCCTACTTTAATTCCCTTTCCACACAAACTGTTTGAAGACCTCATACCTCCAGCGTTCCCATCCCACGCTTGCTTTCTGGCATCTAGCTACCCGCTCATTAAGAGGGCACGAGCTTGTCCACCTCCCTTTGAAACTTGAAACTGGCTAGACTTTGTGACTGGTCGACTGACAGCGCTCGGAAGTGACACTGCAGCTTCTATGTGGGAAAGACCCAGAGCCGGCATGGCAGGCCTCGTGCCCTGACACCGCCATGCTGTGAGGAAGCTCACCTGTCCCATACGGAAAGACGGCAAGGAGGGCCCTGGAGCCTTAGAGAACAAGCGAGTCGAGCCAGCCCTACCGTTCCAGCCCCTGTTCCACTTGTGCCACTCTGACAGCAGCTTCCGGAAGCCCCAGCAACACCACGAGCCAGGCCCTCCAGCAGGCCCTATTCAGAGGAGCCGTGAGAGACCGTGGAATAGTTATGTGCATGTTGTCCTCTAGGTCTGGGGGTGATTCGTGACGCAGTAACTTACATCTGAACACTGGAGCTCAGAAGGGTTAAGGACACGCCGAGGTCACACAGCTAGTAGGAATTAGTGCATTTTACCCCCTTCTCTCGGATTCTAAACGTTCCTGTAAGAAGAGCTTCCAAAGAGGTGTTGAGTGGCCTGTCTTCTTCCACTGAAGGACCTTCCCAACCCAGGCCAGCATCACGTCTACAAGCCTATTTCTTCTCTTCACAGCCTCATCTGAGATCCTTCCCAGCCAGAATGAAGAGTTTTCATTGCTCCGTTCTCCTCTGACATGTGGTCCCCAGTCAAGACTGGAAGTGTATAAAGTAGACATGTCTCAGCCTCTGTCCCGAGGTGACCTCTCCTCTCCAGCCAGCATGGCTCTTCAGCTCTTGCCAGGCCCGTGGTTACCTTCCCGAGAAGGCAATGGAGCCACGTTCTGACCTCCGACACGGAGCAGGTGCGTTTCAGAACCGGTGGCCTCACCCTAGAGAGGTGGCCAAGGCACACAGGTGAGGCCCCCGAAGCTGCCCATCCTTAGAGGGCTGTGGGGACGGCTTTCTAGCACCCACGTCTCTGCATTCCAGAGGACAAGAGCAGAATCCTCCCCCCACCCCGAGCCACTGGTTTCGTCCCCTTTGTGTAAACCCTTCCCATGTCAGAGACACCTGTTGGGGGGAGAGCCTTTCTCATATCGGGCTGAGGTCCACAGGGAAACGGCAGACAGAGTAGAAATGAGCGACTCCCATCTTCTTTCAACTTAATGAGTTTTCGTTATTTTTCCTGCATCAAAAGTACCTTTTGCCCACGAAGGCCTGCATTCCCCCATATTCATATGGAGCCACGAATGACAAGGTGGCCTCTGGCTGGTGGCCACAGGACCTGGGAACTGTGTAGTTGTGTACCCTGGTCGGCCTCTGAGGGTCTTCCACGAGAATGAGGCGACAACAGTGGCACCTTCATTGTGGACGGTGGGGAGGATTATGGGTCCGTGTACATGCTGTGCTCCCATAGGCCACCGTGGCACTGTGTTTGCCACGGAGCAAGGCCTCCTGAGCCCTTCCAACGAGGCTGCAGCGTGGTCCAGCCCCTCCGCATTGTAACAACGACAGCGTGCGGCACTCCTACCTCTGGGGACAGGCATGGACCGCGGAGCCTCACTGCCCGGCTGACAGTGACTCTGTCCTGTGGCCCTGCGAGGTCTATCCCACTCTCCTGCCCCCTGCTCTGAAGGTCTTCATGGCTTCCAGTCCTGCTGGGTTTCCATCACTGGTTGGCTCTCTCCTGTGCTCCCACCCTCAAGGTGACGAAGGTGTCTGGACGCTGGTGCCATCGGGACATCCGCAGCCTACGGCACCTGTGGCCTCGACATTCGCCGCTTTGACTGTTGATAACGCAACACCAGGGGCCGCTTCTCACTCTACTAAGACACATTCCCCCCTCTGCATTTTCCATTCTTTGATCTTAATTTATTTGAGGTGCAATCGGTAATGCACTCACACAGTTCCAAACTTTGAAGACACACAGCTCGCAGGCAAATACTGGTCCCTGCCCCCGCGCCCCTCCCCAGAGGCCCCTGACGGTGGTGACTTATCATATGCCTTTCCAAAGACATTTGACGCGTATACAAACGCTCACCCCAGTATTTCCTCCTAGCCCCAACCTCAAACATATTAGTGCACGGAGTTCTTCGGTCTTGCAGTTAGCATGTGTTACATTCAGCATGGAGACATGCACACAGGGGGCCAGGAGGGAGAGAAGGACCCGTACAGGATCTCATCACGTGACCCCCTCGCTGGGCCCCCAGCACCTCAGGGTGTCGGGCATCTGCACAAGCGCCCACGTGTTTTCCAGCCAGCCGGTGGGCCTGCACCCACGACAGCCCTGTGCTTCAAGTCCGGCAGCTCGGCCTCACTGCTGCCTGTGCCCAGGCTGGGCCTGGACTTCTTTATGAAATGCACACACCGCATCATTTATCTAAAGCAGCCTCCTACCCGCTGGCAGCTAGGCCACTCCCGTTTGTGCCTGGAAGCACTGCTCTGAATAACCTTATCCAAACACCATTTTGTACCCTTGTGATTCCCCCGTGAAGAAAGTTCTAGATGTGGCCAGTTGAAATAATGGCGCAGGCATTTACAAACGTGACAGGTGCGCCCACGGCCACCCTCAGCACACCTTACGACAAACCATTCCGTCCTCGGAGGCTGGTGGTTCATGTCCAGAAATGCCTCGGCTGTCGGGGAGCCCAAGAATACCACTCGCCTCGGGTGTGGACCTGTCCTTGTGGGGCCGTGGGAGGGATATTTACCGAGTGACAAACGAGCGGGTGACCCTTTGCTGATACAGTGGTTCCGTGCGCGTCGTCCCCTGGTAGACGCAGGAACAGACCTGAGCAGTCTGCGTGCTGGGAGGCGTCCCAGGAGCCAGCGGTGAGGGCCCGGGTTTCGGGAGGGTGTGCAGGGGGAGCAAGCCTGCTCTCGCTCTCGGCTCCTCTCCCTGCCCCAGCTCCCCGCCGCTCCCACCCCCTCAGGAGCAGAGATGAGAAGGGAGACGGGAGCATGGGTTCAGGATGGCCTCCGCGGGGCAGTTTTACGCCAGTGTGATACGGAGCACTGCGGGCGTGCAGACGCTTCCGTAAAATGCGATTCCAGTTGGCAAGCCTATCACAGCTTCGCCCGAGCCTGAGACTCGCCGGTCACGAGGAAATGGAGAGCTCCTTCATCTTAGCTCTTCATGTGGGGCTGCACACAGGCTGAGGGCCTGCAGGGAACGAGCTCAGCCTGCCCCCCAGAAAACTGGGGACTGAACAGTCTTCATGCATTGTCTTCTGAATCCCTGCCGCACCCTCATGGCAAGGAACTGCAGGCTGCGAACACCTGATCAGAGGGCCTCAGAGTGAGCCCAAGTTCTGGTGTTTGTATTCATTAGTCGGTCGGCGGATATCTGATAGGCACTGGGGTTGCTCAGGCTACCGAGACACGCAGACCCTGACGGCCCGGAATTCACTGCCCGTTAGGGAAGGTGGAAGGTAACTGAGCCCGCAGACCTCGGGATGTCCAGCCGTCACTTGGCAAGTTCAGTGAAGTGCGCCGTGTAGGAGAGCCTGCGGTAACGGAGTGTGCTTCCGAGGGCGCAGTCAGTGGCTTGCAAAGTTGCCCACGTGGCTTACGGTGCTGGAAAGGGGCCAGCTGGCAGGTGGCGGTCAGGCAGTGGAGTCCCACAGGCAAGGGAGGGGGCGGAGGCAGGGGGTCCCGAGGACAAGAAGCCTTTAAGATTTTAGCCAAGACAGGGACACCATCACATTCATGTAAAAAATGTTGGGGCCGGCAGCTGGCATGGTGGTTGGGGGCACCGGACTCTACATGGCCGACCACAGTTCGAGTCCTAGACCTGGCAGCTTGCTCTCTCACTTTCTCTTTCTCTCTCTCACTCTGTCCCTCTCTGGTCAAATTAAATAAATAAATAGTTAAATAAGATCATTCTTTTTTAAGAAACTGTAGAAAACAGATCAAGAATGGGGGGCGTTCCAGAGAATACAGAAGCCAGTTAGATTATTGCAGGAGACCGAGGTAAGGCCCGGAAGTGTTTTCTGCCTCCGGCACCGTCTTCCTCACACCGAAGGCTGGGGGGTGGGCCTCCTTTCTCCTCCCCGCTCACATCCTTGCCCGTGCCCTGCGCCCACCCCGTCCGTCAGCAGTGCCGAGGTTTGGTCTGAGAGTGAGCACAGAACCTGGCTTTATAAAAGCGGCGTGGGAAGAAACAGCCTCATAGCCCCGAGATCGTGCTACTCGCTTTAAATTGGCCCTCCAGACCCCTTACTTCCTGGCAGCTTGCTCTCTCACTTTCTCTTTCTCTCTCTCACTCTGTCCCTCTCTGGTCAAATTAAATAAATAAATAGTTAAATAAGATCATTCTTTTTTAAGAAACTGTAGAAAACAGATCAAGAATGGGGGGCGTTCCAGAGAATACAGAAGCCAGTTAGATTATTGCAGGAGACCGAGGTAAGGCCCGGAAGTGTTTTCTGCCTCCGGCACCGTCTTCCTCACACCGAAGGCTGGGGGGTGGGCCTCCTTTCTCCTCCCCGCTCACATCCTTGCCCGTGCCCTGCGCCCACCCCGTCCGTCAGCAGTGCCGAGGTTTGGTCTGAGAGTGAGCACAGAACCTGGCTTTATAAAAGCGGCGTGGGAAGAAACAGCCTCATAGCCCCGAGATCGTGCTACTCGCTTTAAATTGGCCCTCCAGACCCCTTACTTCTCGGCTGCTCCTAAGGCCGTTCTCCGAGCCTTTCCTCCGTAACCTAATGACTTTCCTTCTCTCCGTTTTCAACATCACATTCATTCTTCGTGAGTGGCCCTTATTATTCCGTACTTGTTCCCTCTCAAGGGCCGTATTTTCTCACCAGCGGTGTGTGAGCAGGACCTGCTAAATGGAAAGACACCTCATCCATCATGCCTTTAATTTTCCACCTTGGGAGGAAGCAGTGAGGCTTAAGTGAAGGATAGACGCGAGTCACCTCTGCTTCCCTGGCTGCTCTGGGTGAAGGTCTCAGCTCCTGACATTCCTGTCGGGGCAGACATACGTGAGCCACTGTCGAAAGCCGTAGGTCGGCCGTGTGACGGAGAGCCGGAACCACTGGCCCATTAGAAGTGATTCCTCTCCTTTGCCAGCTGAGTTAGCGTGGCAGCTCCACTCAGAAAAGCCGTCAGTACCCAGACTCCTTCAGCGTCCTGCCCCTCACCCTGGGTATTGTTGTGGTCAGTGCGGTCCGAGATGGCCCTCCGCGCTGTAAATCCCACCCGAGGGGCAGGGCAGGGGGAGCCGCTGTGGTCAGTGTGGTCCGAGATGGCCCTCCGCGCTGTGAATTCCCCCCGAGGGGCAGGCAGGGGGAGTCTGGAGCCTGCTTCTTCCTTCCAGGACACCCAGCAGCTGTGCACGTCCCACCTCGGAGGGTGCACACGGGACCCCCCAGCTGCCAGAGAGGCGGGAGCGTGCCCCTTTTCCCCTCCCGAGTCGCCTGCCCAGAGGGGCACGGCAGGAGCCGTCTCGCCACAGTTGGCATTTGAAAATATCCAGAGTCTGAATCTAAAAGGAAAACTTGGCGGGCTGGGGGCTGGCAAAGCCAGCTGGGACTTGCGAAGTGGAAGATCCAGGAAGCAGGTGTGAGAGTCAGAGTCTAGCCCACCCGGCGGGAGGCGTCCAGGCCCAACTGCAAGGGCAGGAAGGGCTTTCGGAAGTGCTCAAGCACCATGAGCCTGAGCCTGGCACCCCTGCACACCCCCAGCCTCACACTCGAGTAGGGCAGGCTGCGCTGGGAGAGCAGCACCCTCCATCCCGCACCCCTGCGGCCACCCGGGGCTCTGCTGCGCAGGAATTCCAGTTCAGCCACTGACGAGCCCCACTGCTTCGGAGACCCTGAGCCGCGGGGATTGTTAGTCTCGGCTCCCAGAAACACCTGTAATACAGCAGAGGGGTCGAGGCGGAGGGTCTGCGATCTAAACCCCCCTCAGCCAGTTACCACTGTTCAGCTCGGGAACGCGGGACTTCACGCCACCGAGCCTGCTCCTTCCCTCTGAAAGGGGGTCGCATTGCCCGCTCACGGGGTGTGCTCAAGAGCAGATGTGTGGGCAGCAGTGACCCTGGCTCCTAATGAGCCCATGCCGCCAGGGGAGCCCCGGCCTCCTGTCTGTGCGAGGCGGCATCTCCCGTGGCCTCAGCGACCCCTCCTGGTGCCTGTGCGCCTTATGGAATCCTGTCCTGTTTGCTGGGGGCTGGCCGGGCAGCTCCCTTTTAATCAGCATCGTGGATGTCTAGTCCGTAGCGATGACAGGTTCCGTCCATGCTGGGCCGCGGAGACCAAGGCCTGCACGTTGCTGGCAGACTGCGGTCTTGGCGTGCACATTGCCGAGTTCACCTGGCAAAGAACGCAGTGTGGTCTGTAGCCAGCAGCCAGCGAGGAGCGGAAACCGTCAGCCAACCTCTTGACCAAACAACAATCTCGATGGTGCCAGGCGCCCTTACAACATGCGAGTTTAATTCCCAAAACCACTGCAGGGCCCAGCTGCAGCTGCACAGGCCAGAGGGGCCAGGACACAGCCCCTACCAGTGGGTACACCATGACCCGGCCAGCAGGGTGGCTGCGGGTGGGGCTCACAGCATGGTGCCCCTGTCAATGGTCACTCTCTCTCTTGCTCTCCCGAGAAGTAAATAAACCAACGTAGAAAATAAACTGCAGGCAGGCTGGCTCTGGGGCCTAGTGCTTAAGGGAGCAGGGTCTCTCATGACCAACCATGGCTCAAACGTTGGCCCTAGTGGCTTGAAAAACACACTGGGCATGTGGTGTCTGTGCTCAAACTGGGGTGGAGGAGTGGAGGAGGGATTGCGGAT